CGGCACCAATCAACGGGGCGGGAGGGGGGCGGGAGGAAACGGCGCGGGAAGAAAGCAAGCGAGAAGAGACCGACCGCGTGACGTGACATGTTGCGGTTGAATTTCAGCGACTAGTTTTTCTGTTGCCCTCTCCCCCGTTTGCTGTCGCGTTCAGACTGTCTCTACGGATATCCCTGTCTCTGTGCGAGTTTGCTTATGTCCTCGTCTGTCTTTGGTTTATTTCGTTTTTGTTTTGTTTTTTTACTGGCACGTACTGTTGATCCTTGGGGTCCTTCCGGAAGGCTACCCCCCAGGCTGGTGGTGCGCACGTTCCACTATTTATTTATTTATTTGTTTCTGATTCTTTTGTTTTCTTGTATTTGTCGCTCTGCTAACCCTTGGGGTCCATTTTATTTTGGTATACCTTTTCTAGGTACGTTAGCCTGTGACAACGGAAATTGACCGAGTCAAGTGCTGGATTAGTACGGAGAGATTGAGACAGAAGGAGGTACTGGATAGAGAGACCGGGATGGTTTTTAATGTGAAGACAACAACAACAACAACAACTCAACGATCTTCAACGCAAACAGTCCCGCAATGCAAACTGTCCGATCAAGTTGTTATACGTCACTCTGTCGACACACACAGCAGCAACTATCACGAACATCACGAGATTGCAGGAAAATGAATCCTGATGTTCTCGTGAGCCTAGAGAGGACGTGCCCCGCATCCCACCAACACACGAATTTCCACAGTCATCTGACTAAACCCTCTTGCAGAGAATTTAGCAGATATTGCCCAGAAAAACTCGAGCGGCTTCAACAAAATGACCAGTAGTCTAGACTATCTTCCTGTCTTTGCAAATCACGATTGATCGATTGATTGATCATGGCCTACAGTAAGAGACCAACTTACGAGTGCTATATAGTACTGGCAACTTTCAACGAGAGCCAAGTGAGGAATCATCTGCTGTTGTTGTACTTGTTGCAGGAACGCATGAGTCGAGGAGCTGAACTAGTCTAATTTATTTCCCACAAACAGTTTAACTTCCGGTTAAGACCCGCCGTCGCTCCCAGGCAACGCTGAGCAGGAGGGAACGCTTGTTCATCCCATGCTGCTGCCGCTAATAATCATTGTACCGCTTCCTGCCTGACGTCGAACACCGGGAATCTGAGCAGGTGGTCGGAGCATTTTTCTACATGATTTCTATAACTGTTTTACCGCCCAGCCAGATGGTGTCATACACGTCCACGGGTCAAACGACACGACACACAATCGTCAGACACGGTACACATTGGTGTTGGATATCGATTAAAAATATATATATTCGACACGATATCGCCCGTCAAGTGTTAGATATCGATATCGATATCGATATTGACGAGCGAAGCGAGCCGTTTGTGGCGAGCGTGGCGAGCCGGCGAGCACAGTCCGGTGCCATGTCTCCAATGGGCGCGAAACCACCGATGGGAGACACAACACGCACGATTTCGGCAGGCACAAGCCTTGCAACCAGCGTGATGATCAGTGGTGAGGTCCAGTGCGAGCTTGGTATGCGTGCGCCAAGGACGAACGACGACGTGGTTCCCTTGTGGGTGGGAAAATGGTACGGTGTCTGTTTGCCTTCCAGCCAGATTGTTGGTTGCAAGCCCCGTTTGTTTGGTGCGCTGCCCTCTGTTTTCGTCTTCCTCAAGGGACACGGTATGGGTAGAACCCACATGAGTTCCTTTTCGAAAAGTCGGTTGTAGGTAGCTGGATGTGTGCTCCGCATTGTACGTTTGCTTTCATTCGGCGTGCCGATCACCGTGAAAAGCCAGCTTGACTCATTGCGACTCATTGACACATACATCTGCACGATACGATGGACATACATGAAGCAATTGGCGCCGCACTAGACTATACCTCCGATACCCCATATCCGCTAGAAAGAGAGTTGCTATCTCACCTGGTGCAATACCACTGCGGAAGTAGTCTTGAGGTTGTGTGCATCCCTGTGCCATATCCGGGACGGGTGCCATACCGCACAATTGCCGCCGTAGGAGTCTGCCTACGGGGGTTGGGTGATTCGAAAAACATGAGTCGGAAAATGTTCCCTCATTTTTCTATTTTGCCACTTCCCCATGGGGAACGTCGTCCACGCATGTTTCCTGGGGTAACGCCGCCAGCACCTTGGTTCTCTCACTGCGTCGTCGCATGTACCTGGCCGATCAAAAGTTCGTACGCAACAAGCCTCTCCGTTCAATGCGTGCGTGTGTTGCCTCTCCGCAGTGTTATATGCACCAGCGACATGTCAACTACGGATGCGTGGCCAGCGGGTGGACCAGAACATACTACCAGCATGAGAGTGAGGGTCCTGTTGGGCGGTACCACAGCAGTAGTACGCTGGTTGGCGTATGTGGTAGAGGCTTGGTAGAGAAAACAAAAAGAGTGATTTATTATCCACAAACAGACGCCTGGACTGTCTGCACCTGACGGTTACAGTAAAAGAGAACGCCTTCACAATACCCTATCAAACACATACAGCAGAATAGAGTCGGTCTTGCACAGCAAACACCCCAACATGTCCTCTCAAGAACGTACGTCATTCTGATACATGAGACTCGAATCTTCTCTCGATGTCCTCTCAAAATAATGTCCTCTCGAAAACAACTCACGAGTACTTGCGATCTCAACTCAAAATTAAATAGTCATTACCTGCCATTTCAACAAGCAGCGAAAACATTCCTCTTACACAGATCTCCAGAGTTTCCTTCAACATTCAACCCTTAAGATTACGAAGAGGGGAGGTGACTACATTCCTAGAAGCTGGCGACGGTTGTTGAGAAACTTAACCGTTCCTAGGTTCTTGGCCAACATGTCAGCCTTCTGGGGGTTGGTGTCGATTTTCTTTACCTCCACTACCTTGTCAACGATCAGCGACCTTACGTGGTGATACTTGACATCGATGTGCTTCGTTTTCTGCGTTACTTTGTTCGATTCACTATGATTTATTATCCACACACAGACGCCTGGACTGTCTGCACCTGACGGTTCCAGTAAAACAGAACGCCTTCACAGTACCGTATCAAACACATACAGCAGAATAGAGTCGGTCTTGCACAGCAAACACCCCAACATGTCCTCTCAAGAACGTACGTCATTCTGATACATGAGACTCGAATCTTCTCTCGATGTCCTCTCAAAATAATGTCCTCTCGAAAACAACTCACGAGTACTTGCGATCTCAACTCAAAATTAAATAGTCATTACCTGCCATTTCAACAAGCAGCGAAAACATTCCTCTTACACAGATCTCCCGAGTTTCCTTCAACATTCAACCCTTAAGATTACGAAGAGGGGAGGTGACTACATTCCTAGAAGCTGGCGACGGTTGTTGAGAAACTTAACCGTTCCTAGGTTCTTGGTCAACATGTCAGCCTTCTGGAGGTTGGTGTCGATTTTCTTTCCCTCCATTACCTAGTTAACGATCAGCGACCTTACGTGGTGATACTTGACATCGATGTGCTTCGTTTTCTGCGTTACTTTGTTCGATTCACTAGTCGATATGGCAGCAGTGCTATCCTCAAACAACACCGTAGCCTCCGTCTGCTCTCGATTGATGGTCTTGAGAAGATGACGCCAGTGTAGGATCATTTTGCACGCCTTGGACATTGCGACGTATTCTGCCTCAGCCGACGACGTGGCAGTGACCGTCTGCTTTACACTTGTCGTGTCCACCGGGCCACCTGCGAGGGTAAGAACGACCCCAGTAGTCGATTTTCGATCGTCAAGATCGCCTGCGAAGTCAGAGTCGACGTGAGCGGTTAGTATATCTCCGCCTTGCGCGTCCTTGCGGTAGGTGATGCAAAAAGAGGTCGTCCCCTTCAGGTAGTGCATGAGTCGTTTCAGTTTGGCAAGCGCCTTCGGTCCTGGTTTAGCCATGCTCTTCGTGAGTACCAGCACCGAGTGAGAGATGTCTGGCCTCGATCCCCTGCTGATGTATAGGACCGAACCCGTAGCCGACCGGAACATGGTAGTTTGCTCCGGCGACAGAGCATTTTCTTCCTTGGTCGTAACCGGCTCCTTCTCGGCCGGCGTTGCCGTCGCGCGCACGTCAGCCATGCCGAATTTAGCAAGCACGGCCTTGGTGTAAGCTTCTTGCGTCAGTAGGATGGTGCCCGCTTCGAGGTTGCGCTGGATGGCCATTCCCAGGATAAACTTTGCTTCTCCCAGGTCCACCGTCTCAAAGCGCTCCTTCATCTGTTCGATAATGGTCGTCACGAGCTCCTCCTTGGCTCCGGTAAGTAGGATGTCGTCCACGTAGACGAGCAGGATGACCTCTCCCCCGTTCAACGTGTACAGACACGGATCGGCGGTGCTCGGGACGAACCCGATCTCCAGCAGGAACAGGTGAAACATCCCATTCCAGCTTTTCGGAGAGAGGCGTAGGCCGTAAAGCCACGCCTTAAGTCGCCAGACCAGCTTTGTTTGCTCCCGCGAGCACGTGAACCCCTTCGGAGGTATTACGTAGATAGGTTTGTCTTTCTTGGACATCCTGGAGTTGAGAAAAGCCGTCTTCATGTCGGCCTGCCTGAGAGCTTGGCCAAAACCAGCAGCGTGGGAAACCACTAGATGGACAGATTCCATAGACGCCACCGGTGCAGCCTTATCCGCTCCCGTGTCAGCTTCGTGAAAACCTTGCACCACCACGCGACTCTTCGGGCGAACTGGCACATGTTCTTGGTTGTACTTCCACCTGTAGTGGAACCTAGTCGGAAGAAGTTGGGCGTCTTCGGGCGGAAGCACCCAGTCGAACACGTCGTGGTCGTAGAGCGACTGCTCTTCATCGTTCATGCTCGCTCTCCAGCGTGCTGCATCCGGTCCACTCATCGCTTCATCGTAGGTGGCAGGATCGGCAGGCATGTAGCCCACCTCCCCGGGACTGCCTCTCCCGAGGTTGCCGAAGTCACTTCCAGTCACCATAGCATGTTCGGTCCTCTCGTACGCCTGTTCTTTCGTAAACAGATTTAACCGTTTCGGCGCCACGGAATTCCTGCTGCTGCGGCGAGGTGCCGGTGCTCCCGGCTCCGATTCGTCGGATGATTCTTCGTTATTTTCTTCTTCTTCTTCGATAGAGTCTACCAGACCAGGCCGATAGAATGTTGAGTTAGGCGCGGGGAGAGGATCTTGCCCTAGTTTGGGCTTGATCACGTCGCGCATCTCCTTCTCACGGAACGATACCTCCACGGAGTTGGTGATTTTGAGAGGCTCCGAAGGGTCCCAAAGTCGATACGACCTACCCTTGGAGTTGTAGCCTACTAGGTACATTTTCTTGGCCCTGGCCGCCAACTTGTTCGACCGGGCGCGTACCTCTTCGTGCTTAAAA